CACAAAAGGTCAAAGAATGGGAAATAGCCAACTTCCTGGGAATCCCAGCCCCTTCCCCAGGGTAGTTAGTTAGATTGGTCCTTCCACTTATTAGCATATGAAGCTACCAGCCAGCCCATAAAAACCGACAACACCTCGTGGCCGCCTCTCTCTCCATCGTCTTCAGAGACACCCCGCACTCTCTGTATGGAGTGTGTATCTACTTTAACCTGAGCTCCCACCCCCCACACCTCATGGCTTTCTCTTGCCTTCTGAAACAGCCTACACTCTACGCAGTATGGATCTCTCTACGTAAACCTGACTTTACTCAACTGTGGCTCGCTCTTGAATTCTTTCCTGCGTGAAGCCAAGGACCCACACTTGGAGGGGCATGTCCCAGGGGTTCCTCATACCCCACATCCGTTTTTCCTGCATCAAGGCCATGTTCAGTGTAAGCACAGCATTCATAAGAGACAGGGACACCATGGCCAGGGTCCATCAAGAGATTAGCCGGAAGGCCCCTTTGGCTGGTAATTTCAGATCCACATACCTCTCTGTCCAGCAGGGCACTGGCAGTTGCTGTGAACAAGATCCCTCCAATTTGAGATCTGCGTCCTTTCGTTCCCTCGCTGAACTGGCACCTTTCCCCCACCAGCGGCCATGCTGCATCCAAATCAACTGATTCACAAAGCAGGTGGTGGAGAAGAGTGACAGGGGACCTTCATGCTGAGACTGATGCCCCAGCCTGCCCTGGCTTACCATCAGTTGACTTCCTCAGCTCACTCCTTCCCTGATTCCAGGACTCCAGATCACCTATGCTCTGAAGCATTTGAATCATCGTATCTCCTTTGTGATCAAAATGAAACCTTTATCAAGGGGCAGGTTCCCAAATGAGGGGAGATCCTGCAGATAAAATGAAGCAGAAACTTCTTTGACAGTTCCCCGATACCTTCTCATCCAGCCCCAAGCAGAGACCCTCGGACCTGTTGTCCGGTTTTGTCCCCACCAGCCCTCCCCCAGACCTGATCTTCCTCCAAGAGGTAAAAAGAAAACTGACTTAAGTTAAGGGCAGCAGCCATTGGTAAATGAGTCTGTCTGGCCACCACTAACTCACTGCATGACCTCAGGCAAATCATTTAAACTCAGCTTCAATTTTTGCCTCTGAAAAATCAAAGGATCAGACAGGAAGACATCCAAGGTCCCTCCCAGACATGACAGTCTAAATGTGAGCTCCACATCTTACCACAAGAACAACTCATCCTTTTCCCTACTTCAGCTGTTCAGGTTCTGAATCCAGTATCCAAATCCTTCATGGTCTCAACCCACATGTGGCGGCTGCCCGGTGAGAATCACAGGCAGAGGACAGCCACTCCTCTGAAACTGAGCAGGACCCTGTGGGGCTCTCCCGGGTACAAATCCTTTCTGTGTCCCCGTTTCTTGTTTGTAGGGAATCAGCTTCCTTCAGCCTCCTAGACCTTCCCTATGTTCAAAGGGCAGATTCAAACAGTTGCTAATCAGAGAAGTGAGGGAATGCAGAAACAAAGGAAGAGCAGTCTAGAAATAGGGGAAAGGTCCTGATGCCTCCCCACAGAACATACATAACAATATATTTGAGTTCTTCTACAGGAACTAAGGCCCCACCCACTGGGAAGATGGTAACTTCAGGCTGAGCCCAAGATTCCTGGAACACCTGCCTGGTTACTTCCGTACTAGCCAATCAGAAGGAAGTAACACACCCTGCAGCCCTCACCCCAAATTTTGCCTATAAAAATTTCTCACCCAAAACCAGAAAGTTCAGGTTTTGGAGGTACGAACCACCCGTTCTCCTTTCTTGGCCCTGCAATAAACCATTCTCTGCTCCAAATTCCAACTTTTCCATTTGTTTGGCCTCACTGTGCGTTGGGCACACAAATGTGTATTCAGTAACACTTCTGTACAACAGTGGGCTCCCCAATCAGACTAGCCACTTCTCCAGCCACTGAAGGTATCATCACACTGTTCCCAGAGGAGGGTGGGGTGGGGTGGGGGTCCCTTCTGAGAGCTAGGGCCATAGACTAAACAGACAGTTAGAACTCATATGAATTTTAGCAAGTTCTCCAAAATCCTGGCTACACCTGCTTTTTTGTTTTTTGCTTTTCAACTTTGAGACATATATTTTCCTATGAAAAGGGATTATATCAAATCACCTAGCCATAGCACTCACCGTCTCCTCTCCTGAAGATGACTTCTGACAACTACTTTACCGTAACAACCTGAACACCCAGAAAGATGGTTCTTTTCTTCCTTTTGTGCTAGACAACCTCACCCTCCTGTATGCAGTGTTCACTTCCACTACACTTGAGGCGCAAGCACTCTTCAGAGCTCTGCTTGTTTCACTGGCTGTGAGTGTGCCCCCATGTGTGTTGCGTCTCCCTGTACATATCTCTCTAGGTACGTGACTCCAGGAGATCTTGATCTGTCTCTCACTGTGTCTGTCCATGTGTGTGTACACGCCTGTGTGTTTATCCCTGTCTCCTTGATATCTCTGCATAGGTCTCTCTCGGTTGTTGCACAGATGATCCTGCTATTTCACTAAACGGATCCTATTTTCTCCTTCCATTCACTGCCAAACTTCTTAAGTTTTTTCTGTAGGTAACAGGCTGTGGCTGGGCCCCCAGGGGCAGCTTCTGCTCTAAGCCGGCGTCTTCCTGGAGATCAGAGTCAGCACTACCAACCCTCAAAAGCACAAATCCAACACCAGAAGCATTGGTGAGCAGTGTACATTTCACCAAAGTCTCCAGAGGATGACGGAGGAGAGATTATATACACCACATTATACCACAAAATTCAACCATGCTTCCTCATTAGACATCTTGCTTTCGCCTCAGAACTCTTCTGAAACCACCACTTTATCTCGTAATTCACACTAAATGGATAAACAGACCTCGGAAGAAACGCCACAGCTGCAGCTCCCTTTAAAGACGCCAGGCTGCACCCCACGAGCTGCAGCACGTGGGCCACAGATGATTGGACCAAGGGAGAGCACCTGACCTGGGGACTGCGTCTCTATTGGCTGGCCAGCTGTCCTATGCGCTAGCTTAGTCCAAGAGCTTGTGATACCTGAACCAATCAAAATCGTCTGCTTAGGGAGTTTGGATGCGACGCAGAGCGGGAGCTGGTTGGTTGTCCGTGAGAGAAGTAGATGACGCAGAGAGAAAAGCAAGGACGGAGAGAAATCCGTTAGTGGCGGCAGAGCAGAGTCAGATCAGTGCGCTCCTGCTGGTGAGAGGCTGCAAGTCCAGGGCGGTGCACCCTGTGTCCCCAGGACCCATCTCGCAGGCCCGCAGGCCACAATGGTTTCCTGGTAAAGCTTGTTAAAGGGGACTGTATGCATTCCTGAAACACTTCCGCGCCCTGAACCCCATCCGTGTGTTTTCGTACGGTTTAGGTGTGCTGCTCATGGGTTCTGCGGTACCCTACCTAGAGTCAGGATCTGTGCAACTGAGGCGCTGGGTAAAGTGTGATTTCCAGATCTGAGGCTGGGAGGAAACATGACGCAGAGGCTTTGCCCTCCAACCATTCCTGCCTCAGACCCTCAGCAAAGACAGTTATGCCCCCAAGCCCCCTCCGCTGGGTGCCCCGTCAAGAGAAATCCCGGCGCCCTCTGTCTTTGGGTGATGAGGACCATTCTGAAGCACCCACTGTTTTGTTGGGTCCCATGAGCCCACTCCACCCAATGTGTTCCGCTCTGACTGGGCCATACAGTTGGAGGGGATTGAAACTGGAGATGAATGTGTGGAAGTTTGTGGCTTTCATCTCTTAAACAAATAGCAAATTCCTTCGGCTGCCGCTGCTGGAATTAAACAATGATGTGTCGGGGGAGACTCTAAAGCGTTACCTTAGCAACTCCCAGGCTGTTTTCAGGCAAGATCTAGTTAAGGAGGAAAGCGAACAAAAATAATAAGGGGACGAGTCTGGATGGGGTCCAGGAATGGGGGTCTTTTGGCTGAATGTGTGTGTTTTGTGCTCTGACAGGTTTGCAGTCCTCCTTTCAACTAAGTTTTCCTCTCTGCTCTCCCAGTGCGTGTCACCGTTGGTGAGGCCGTCCACTGGAATACTAATGGGAAGGCTAAGAAAAGTCGGCGTGCCTTGTGAGGGATGGGTTAGAAAGGGAAACTGGGACCACCTAAGCGGGAAGTAACGTGCTTGAAGCCTACCAGCCTGGCTCTCAAAATCATGAAGGTCATAGGAGGAAGAAGGTAAGTCTCTTCAGAAGTGACCAGTGCTGGAGCTTGGGCAGGACAGAGGCCCGTATGGTGGCAATTCATCAGACCCTTGCTCTTCACAGTGTGGTCCATGGGCCAGCAGCAGAGGCATCACTTGGGCGCTTGCCAGAAATGCAGAATGTCAGGCTGCCACAGGCCTATTGACAAGGGTCTGCATCTTGACAAGACCCCAGGTGATTCATGTATGCACTGTTGTTTGAGAAGCGCCAAGCGGGACCTCAGTCTTTGACTCTCCCAGGTTCTTGCAAATCTGTCACTGCCTTTTTTTGTTTGGTTTTTTGGGGGGATTAATGGTAATTAGGTTTATTTATTTTTAATGGAGGTACTGGGAATTGACCCCAGGACCTCGTGCATGCTAAGCACACACTACCCCTGATCTCCCCCATCACCACCTTTGTCGTGTCAAAACAGACTACCACCCACACGAGAACAGGTATATCTTGCTGATCATGCATTTTGGTGTTTGCTTTTTAACACTAATTCTTTGTGATGGTGATGACATTAGACACTGTTAGGGGTTGAATTGTGCCCCCCTCACCCCCAACTCCAGCAAAAGTCCTAACTTGTGAATAGGACCTTATTTGGAAATAGGGTCTTTGCAGATGTGATAAAGTTAAAACAAGATCATTAGGGTAGCCCTAATCCAATGATTAGGGTCCTTATAAGAAGAGGGAACTTTGGGCGCAGACACCAGGAGAGAATGCCATGTGATGAATGAAGCAGAGATTGGACTTCCGCTGCCACAGGCCAAGGAATGCCAAGGGTTGCCGACAGCCGCCAGAAACTGGGAGACAAACCTGGAGCAGATTCTCCCTCTGAGCCCCTAAGAAGGAAGCAACCTACTAGCACCTTGATTGGACTTCTAGCCTTCAGAACTGTGAGATGATAAATTTCTATTTTTTAGCCCATTCAGTTTGTGATACCAGCCCTAGGAAACTCATAGAGAAACTTTCCTCCCAAAGTACTTTCACAGACAGGATCTTGTGAAAGCAGAGGTTGGATAGGCATTTAATTCAGTTTTACAAATAGGAAAGTCCCTTTGTTACTTCAGGAGGTCACAGGAGTGAGGCAGTACTACAGGACTGCAGCTGGGCCTGGCCCGGTGCTCTGTCATGCCCAGTGGACCTGGGAAAAGGGCTCAGCCACAGGGGATGTGGGCCTGCTGACTAGCTCATGCATCTGTCCCTCGGCCTGGACAGCTGCCACTGCGCCTGAGGACACTGAGTAAAGGGAAGACTAGTGCTACAGGGCTCACCATCTCCATCTCCACCATCTGCATCACATGGGCTCAAAGATGCCATCAGCAGTGTGTGTCCTAGCCCCAAAGTGGATGTGGCCCAAGTATGCATCCTTCTTGTCCTAAAGTTTGTATCTGAGTTATCAAATGTCACCTCCATGGTGACACTTTCCAGCCCCCCCAATTTTATTTTCCTCATGACACAACACCATCCATAATACTGCTGCTTCTTTATTTTATACTTCCTGTCTCCTTTACTAGAATGTATATTCCAGTGCCCAGACTAGAGCCTTGCCCATGACAGTTTCTCAATAAATAATGGGACGAGAACCTGTTCAAAATATTTTGTCACGTGCCTGTACTGACCCTGAAAGAACAAGTTGGGTCCATACGCAGTCCACGGAAAGGTGGCTGTGATATCACTGAGGTGAGGGAGCAGTTTGCACGGTGATACACATCGTATGCTTTTGGTTTTGAACGTGTATCACAAAATACCTACTGCTGACTGTTGGCCGTGGCTACCTGTTGGAGTTGGGATTGGAGCGGAGTGCGGTGTGAGTCAGGAGCTGGGGATCAGGGCTGGCTAAAGGAAACGGGGCATAGATCAGTTGCTTGTAGAGACAGAGAATTTGCTGAAGTCACGGGAGGAACATGGAAGAGGGAGACCAAGGACAAATCCTACCTCCATCACCAAGGGCCAAAGGTCCACCTGGCCACAGGTCAGGGACTCTTCCCTCTCTTTATCTATTTGTGCTGCCTTTGAATTGTGCAAGCCCAGAGAGGGTGGCAGCTGGTAGGACTCTACCGAGAAAGCAACCCTTCTGCTCCTACGTGACATAACAGAGGAGTCCCCAAGGACTGTTAGGCTCTTTGCTGAAAGCCAGTAACGGAAATGATGGCAAGTGGGTGAGGCAGCCCCCAGCTGCGGGGCGCAGGCGGGTCTGGTGGGTGGTTTAGGATAGGAAAGAGAATGACCAGGAGATACGCTGAGAAAGCCAGCCAGGAGCTGCCACCACCCCGCCTTATCTCTCCACCCCCTATGACCATGAGGAGGGGCACACACTGGGGGAATGCGCATCTCTCTGTTTCCCTGTCACACAAAGAAGGAGAAGCAGGGGTTCCTGCCCTCAAGGGGACTGCAGTTTGACAGGGGCTTTTTAAAGTCCAGGATAGGCTCCCCCACTCACTGCCAACTAAGTTGTAGAAAGAGAAATCACCCCGCTGCCACCTCCCCACCCCCCAAACTCCCCCCAAGACAGCAACTGTTTTAGCTGCTCCTCCCACAGATTTCCTACACTTGGCCAAACTGCTCTTCCTTATACAGGCCCAGGCTCTCCTGCCTCTGAGCCTTTGTTTAGCTTCTAGCTGTTTCCTCTGAGTACAGGGCACCTCCCTCCTCCTTCCCGCTGACCTCTCTGGTCCAGACAGAAGAAGCCGGGGGTTCCCCCTTCAGCCAGCGCTTAGGAGGCTCTGGGCCCCCGTACAGTGCCAGCCTGGACTCTGACTCTAGGTCTGTTGAACTGGTCCCTAAACCACTTAACCTTGTTGTCCCTACGCAGAAAACAGTTAGAGTAGAGCTCCTGCGAGGACTGAAGGCAGTGGCACGTGTAGAGAACACCCCTGGTGCCAGAGGCATTAAAGATGCTCAGTAAAAGGCAGGGTTGTTATATCAGAGTGTGCTCTGTTCCCAGCACCACACTGGGGGAAATAAAGACCAGTGAGCCGAGGTTGCACCTTCCCACCAGAGGCCAGCGATGTGCTCGGAGAAGTGAGACAGGCCTGCAGGGAGAAAACTGGGAGGGAAGTGCCAAGTCTTAATAACTAGGCAGCACGGAGGCCTCACATACTCTCGGCTGCAGCACCCAGCCTTGCCCAGGAAGCATCCAGCAGCACCTGTCAGATGCACCTGTGACCGTTCTGCCCCAGGGCTCCTCTGTGACCAGGACAGGCACTCTGGACGCTCAAAACAGGTTGCTGACGGGAGATGGGAGCTGCTAGATGAACGCTGTCCTGTTCTTCCCGGGACGTTTCTGAGACCCATTCTGTGTGGTCCTCAGAGGTCCCAGCAGGATGGAGCCCTGGCTGCCATAGCAGCGTCCAGCCGGAAGACTCATCCTTAGGTTGGCCTGCCCTCCTTCTGCATTCAGTCTCTTCAGCCCTTGGCTCCTGCTGTCTGGGATCACTTCCCAAAATGTGCCACCTGGATCCAGGTCTCAGGCTTTCCCAGAGGGAGCCGAGTTTAAGACAACTGTGCTGCAGTGTCCAGGGCATGGGTTGGGGCTTCGAGCTGGAGTAGGTGCCCCCCTCTGCCAGGGGTGGCACCTGCTCATCTACTCTCTGTGTACTGGTCAGGTTGTCCAGAGAGGCGGAACCAGTGGGATATGTAATGGATATATGAGGGGATTTATGATGGGAATTGGCTCTTGCCATGATGGACGCTGAGAAACCCCATGATCTGTCTGCAAAGGGCAGAACCAGGAAAGCCGGTGGGTAATTCAGCCTGAGGCTAAAGGCCTGAGAATAGGGTTGGGGTGGTGCAGGTGGTCTAAGTCCTGGTTTTAGTCTGAAAGCCTGGGAACCAGGAGCACCCATGACCTATGTCCAAGGGCAGGAGGGGATGGACACATCACCTCAAGCAGAGACAGCAAATCCTCCACCTTTTTATTCTGTCCAGGCTCTCATTTGGATTGGGTGATCCTCGCCCACATTGGTGATGGCATCTTTACTGAGTCTGCGGATTCACATACTAACCTACCAATCTCTTCTAGAGACACCTTCATAGACACACCCAGAAATAAAGTTTTACCGGCTCTCTGGGCATCCCTCAGCCCAGTCACATTGGTACATAAAACTAACTCCCACACGTGGGGTTGCTGTAAAGATCACTTGAGAGAGATGGATTAGCACAGAAGTTGAGGACAGTCTCTGAAGCCAGGCGCTCAGATTCTTCAACTTGTTACCTGTGTGTCACTTAGAAGTTACCCAACCCCTCTGTGCCTCAGTTTCCTCAAATGTAACGTGGGGATGGTAATAACGGTACCTCCTGGTGTTGTTACAAAGACTGAATGAGTTAATCGGGGTTAAGCAGTGTGCAGTACCCAGAATGGTCTCCACCTAGTAGGACAGTGTCTGCAAAGCACTTTGTAGGGTTCTGTCACCTTGGAGAATATTAGCTAAAGGTGAGTATAAGGTTAGTACCAGAAAAGCTGGGAAAATGTTTTTGTGACTTAGAAACCGGAAAGCACATCTTAAAACTTCAGAAGCACACACCAAAATTTAAAAGATTGATTTTGATGGGATCAAAATGAAGGCTTCACTGCCATTGAAAGATACCAGGAACAAAATTAGGTGATGGAGGACAGAGTGGGAGATGTTCTAAAACCAGCGCAGATTTTATTCCAATTCTAAGTATACTCTGATACCTGGAATACACAAAGGACTTATAGAAATCAGCAAGGAGGGGGCTGCAATCCCAACAGAAAACAGGCAAGAGTGTGAACAAACTATAGGAAAAGAAACCCCCAGAGGTCAGGAGCACACGAAGCGCATAGTGGTGGGTAAGAGAGACATGCAAGCTGGGAACCTGAGGTGCCGCCATTCTGGAGAGCAGCGTGGCTGGAGAGCAGCGTGGCTGTGCCGAGGCCAGGCCCCAGGCTCGGGCTGCTGGGAATCCAGCCCAAAGGAGTCCTCACCCAGGTCCGTGAGGGGCCATGCACTAAATGCTCACTGCAGTGTTACCTCCTGTGGGGCGAAAGAGGCCAGAGGGGCTGGACTGAGCCATCTCCTGACTCTGAGTCTAAATGATGCTCTGTCAGTATTTCCTCTTGCTACTGTAGTCTAGTTAAGAGGAAACGGTGAGGGTGGGGGTTGGGGGAAGGGATAAACTGGGAGTTTGAGATTTGCAGACACTGACTGGTATATATAAAATAAACAAACAAGTTATACTGTATAGCACAAGGAAATATATTCAATATCTTATAGTAGATTATGGAGAAAAAATGTGAAAATGATTATATGTCTATTCATGTATGACTGAAGATTTGTGCTGTATACCAGGAATTGACACAACATTGCAAACTGATTATACCTCAATAAAAAAAAATAAAGAGAGGATTACAGAAGTGAGAAAAAAAAAAAGAAACAGGGGGAGGATAGCTCAGTGATGGAGTGCATGCTTAAGATGCATGAGGTCCTGGGTTCGATCCCCCTCCATTAAAAGAATAAACCTAATTAGCCTCCTTTCAAAATAAAAAAATAAATAAATAAATAAGAGGAAACAAAAACCTGTAGTGGGGAGGGACAGGAGAAGAGAAATCAGGACAAGAAAGGAGGAACAGAACAAATGTGGTCAGTGCCTGGATTTCCAAGTGGGTGCAGGGCAGCGGGAGGAGGCTGGGGTTTGAAGGCGGGGTGCAGGGAGGATGGCAGGGCCCGCAGGAGAGTCGAGAACAGAGGTGCAGAGCCTGGCCTGACCACAAGAATGTGAAGTCCTGTCAACACTGCCGTGGAGTAGAGCATGGGGACTGTGCCATAAATACTGTAGAGCACACCTGAAAGTTGACAAGAGAGTAAATCTTAAAAGTTAACTTTGTATGGTGGCGGATGGTAATTAGATTCAGCGTAACAATCATTTCACAAAATATACAAGCACCTCAGTCATTACCTTGAAGACCTCCAACCAGTACAATGTTACATGTCAATTATATGTCAATGAAAAATTTTAAAAAAGACAGCTCCAGGAAAATGTGCCTGCAACAGCACAGACCTGGTGGTGAGGCCCCTGCGGGATGGAGCAGAGGCTTCTCAGGGAGCCCAGAGAGGACTCCTAGGGGGAGGCGTGCAGAGCCTGGGCTCGGCTCCCCATCCTTGTCCTTGGGGTGCTTCAGTGCAGTGGTGGCAGCCCAGACCAACCGCGTGCCCCTGTGATGAGCTGTGAGGGCCACACGTGCACGATGGGGAGTCAGAGGTGCCCATTGATGGAAGGCAGTGGGCAGAGGGTGTGGGCGAGACCACTCTGTGTCTGGGGGCTGAGCCTTCAAGGACAAAGATGCTGTCTGAGTGGAGACAGAGAGGAGACTGCCTGAACCAGGACCCAGAGCCAGGAAGACCCACGCCTGTTAGAAGAGGTGGGAGGTCCCTGGGACGGGAGGGAGGGAAGGGGGCTCAAAGGGCCAGAACTGACACCTAAAGGCCTCCCGGGATGGGTTGAGACGTCTGGACCAGGCTCTGATGGAGCTGAGAGCCTCTGCCCCCTCAGGTTGATGACAGCTCCGCTGTGTTTTCAAGAGGATGGGGGATGGGGCGGGACCAGGAGCCTGTGTCCTCATCATTCTGTTCCACTCACACCATGGGCACACGTGGGCTACTCACACACCGCACGCTCACATTTCTGTGTGCACACCACGTGCACACATGCAGCACCAACACACCACGCCCAAACCCACACTGTACACATCTGCACCCCTCCAGCTTACACGTACTACATCCACACTCTACACACCACATGCGGTACACCCGTGCACCCCCTGCACTCACACTGGGTACACACACACCACATATGCATATATACTGCTCACACCCCCCAGACACACATATACACACACACCCAGACCCACACATGTCCTAGATCCACACACTCACCCCACACACATACATTACACCCACACATCACACACACAACCGCCAACCCCACACACACTGCACCCACATATATGCCACACCACACAGACGCACACACACGCTGCACAATATGGGGACACAGTCCAGTAAATGCAGGCGGGCAACTGACTCAAACAACGTGAGAAAGTAAAACATAAGAAGCCTGCAAACTACTCTGGGGCTGTTTCTGGGCATTCAGACCCAAATAAGGTCTGGAGCGCCTGGGTTTAGGGTGACTTGAGGGAACTCCCATCTCCATTTCCCATCAGAACCAGAGGACCTGATGTCTGCCACCCAGGGAGAGACACGACAGGGCAGTGAGATGCCCCCTCCCCAGCTGGTGTCACAGCCCCTGGTCTGGCTCCCGCCCCCTGTTCATCCTCTGAGGCACTTTGGCACCTTCCTGTCTCCGAGAACCCTGTCCCCAGAGGGCCCTCTCTTGCCTTTGCTCGGATAAGCCAGGTTATCTGTCCATCTGCTGGCCACTGACCTGTTTATCTTCTTAGGACTCTCTTCCTGAAATAACCTGGGGTTATCTTAGCTGCCAGAGCAGGCAGCCCTGCCTGACAACCCCTCCCAGGGCGGGCGGCCGCTCATCACTAGCAGCTTTAAACGCCTTTCATGTAGGCCCAAATTCCACACATTATTCGGCCAAACTGGAGACCTGACTGAAAAGGGCCGGCACCTCCACCCCCATTGGATCCTCCAACTGCAGCCTGGGCTCACAGAAGTGCAGGCGGCCTCTCTCTGTCCCCTCCCGGGACGAGGTGGTCCTGCTGCTCTCCGGGTCTCTCACCCCAGCAGCTGGACACGTCTACAGGCAAGCCTGGTCGTCTCCACAGAATTGGCAGGCACAAAGCCAAGCTCTTCCTCTGCCTTATTCCAAACCTCCCACCTCTCTCCCGTTTCTATCCATTCAGCCATGTCAAAACTTCCCTAGACTTGGATTAAAATCTCAGGCACAGTCCTGTCCCTTCCCATCCTGGTGGTGCCCCTCACCAGCACCACAGCCCAAGCCCTGGCCCCCGCCCTTCCAGGAGCAAGTCCTCTGACAGCTCCCCTGGTTCTGGATTCCAAGCCTTCTACACACAGCTGCCGGACTCACAATCTTCCATTGGCATCTCACCTTGTCACTGCCCTGCTCAAGAACCATCCAAGGCACTCTGTTAATGGCTGCTTCAAGTCTAAACATATTTGTCTGGCTCGCAAGGTAGACTCCACTTATCTGACAGTACGTTCCACTACTCCAGTTAGTATCATCTCTGCTCCAGGTCAGGCTGAGCCCCTCACAGCCCCCACACAAGCAGGCTCTTTTGGGCCTCCACACCTCTGCTGGAGCTGACCTGCTGACCAGCAATGCCCTTCAGTATCTTTTTCCCCTCGGCAAGATCCCCGCCAAGTCCCAGTTTTGCTAAGTTTTCTTCAGTGCTTTCCAGTCATTCATTTGTTCAGCCAACGTTAACTGAGCACTTACTACGAACAAGGTTTTCACTGACCAGCCTCCTCTCCGCGCTCCAACAGCACAAGTAACATCTGCCTCACACCTTTACACAGAATCCATCCCTTAAGGTCTTGCAGTGTGTCACCATTACAGGTCCGTAGCCCTCAACCATGTCATAAGCTCCTTGAAGGCAGCAGCCCAGTCTCCGGCTCCTTCTGTGCCCCAGGCCCTGGCCTGGGGCTCCTAGACTTGGGAACTTCACACTCTGCAGGTGGTGGTGGTTCTGTTCCTGTTTGTAGGGCTAACAGGATTGTCAGCTTTTTGTTTCATCAAATAAAACCATTTTTCTAAACCATTTTTTAAATCTAAGTATAGCTATTTTACAATGCTATGTTAGTTTCAAGGGTACAGCGGAGTGATTCAGTTAAATATGTATTCTTCTTCAGAGTCTTTTCCATTATAGGTTATTATAAGATATTGAGCAGAGTTACCTGTGCTGTACAGTAGGACCTTGTTGTTTATCAATTTTTATATAGTAATGTGTATCTGTTAATCTCAAATTCCTAATTTATCCCCCCCCAAAAAAACCCATTTTTTAAATTGATGTCATAAACAAAAACACGCTCTAACACTAACAAAGTAGCTCAGAAAAGTAGGAAGAACATAATCCCAGAATAAAAGACAATCCTTGAAATTGAATAAGTTTAGCAGTATGGAAAAATTCACCGTGTTTTTCTTCTTGTTCATTTCAGAGCATAATCTCAGAATAAAAGGGACAGGCCTTTCAAAGGAATCAATTTAGCAAGCTGAAAAACTCATGATGTTTTCCTGCAGTTTGCAGAAGACAGGTGACTGTCAGCGTCCATCCCAGTGTTTGGGAGCCTCTGTCTACGTCCTCTCACCAGGTGAGCACAGCTCAAGTGAGCTGAATGAGGAGTTGATGTCTTTGGTTGTTGCCTGGAGAAGCCATTGTGAGTCTCTTCTCATAAGATCCAGCCTGCGAGCCAGGGACAAGGCTGGCCTGGCAGTGGTGACCCCAAGCCCAGACTCCTATCCCTTTAGCTCTGTCTCAGACACACAGCCTGATTTTTTTCTCCTCTGTAGGCAGGTGGCTATTCTTGACACGAATTGCATCCCATTCTTGAGCAGTGAAGTGCTGGAGTCTCAGGGGAGGCAGGTAGGATGGGGGCCTCTGGGGATGTTGGGCAGGAGCAGAAAGCAAATAGGCCACAGAACAGACACCCCACCCAGTGTCCTCACGGCTCCCAGCTGGTCAGGAGCAGAGTGGGGTGAGACTTCAGAGCCTCCGTCCCCATCCCCCTGGGATTCTGCCCTCTCCCTGCCCTGTCTCAGCCCAACTTGAAGAGAGAAATGCGACTGAAACTTCCCATTTCTCAGCCCTGGACAACCCCCACCCCCATCCCAGGCACTTCCATAAAAAGCCATTGCTGCCTGGAGGGGATGGGGGAGAGGATTTTTCCAAAGGATGCATGTGTGTATTGTTGGGAGCAGCAAGCATTTTGGTGAACTCCAGGTCACTGCACAGCCTGACAAATGGCAGGAAGTTCGGGACTTGGGCCTGACATTTTTTGCACAAAGGCCCTCCAGCCCAGCCAGGTGAGCCGGGCCTGGGGACAGACACGGGGGGCCACCGCCCGTCACTTCCTGCCCTTTGTTGGCCCAAGTGACAGCCTTCCCGGCGCTCAAAACAGCCTTTCTTTTGTGCCTGACTCCTGTTCTTTATTTATGGAGAGGACCTTCTCGATATAGAAACGGGTGGGCCCCTAGTCGGCAGCAGGATATGGGAACGCAGACTGGCAGGGTGCCCACCGCCGGGGGCAGGAGCACCGAGTTCAAATAATGCGCCGTATACTCAATAACGAGCCTGTGTGCTGTTTGTATGAGGTGCTCTCAGGCTCCGCTGGCCCGCTTCAGGGCGTCAGGAGCCTGCCCGGCCACCAGCCCTCCTGCTGGTACCCCCTTTTGGTTCTCTGGCCTGTCTGCCTTTGCTTGATGTGCCTCAGGTCTGCCTGGCCTGCCTCTCCAAGTCAGTATGGGCTCCTTGAAGGAGGGGACGCCTCCTCTCCCTACAGGAAAACCTTTGTTGTCCACTTCCTCAGGGTTAGACTCTGCTTCCAGGAGCTGGTGTGTGTGTCTGTGAGCATGGTGCCCGTGGGACCCCTTTAGGCTCCCAGTCTTTTCTTCATTGTTATCATTTATGACAGAATTCTTTCTAAAAGGAATCACGCACACCTGATGTCTCAGATAAAAGATGTTGAACAGATTTTGAGCTTTTCTTGGGAACTTGGGGTGTTGGTTAGGATCCCTGTGTGAGCAGCAGGAAGGACCCTGGGCCAGGCAGGACCAGGAGATCTGGGTGTCATTCCTCACCCTGCCTGGCTAGCTGTGCAACCTTGAGCAAGTTCCTTCACTTCTCTGGCTCTCAGAGGTTGGCCTGATGACACCAAGTGGTCATTTTAATTCTCATGTTCCGTGGTTCCCTTTGTTTTGTACCATGTGGTCATAGAGTGATGTCAATACAGACATTGTTGAGGTACATAAGGCACTGTCCCACACAAGGAATCACAGCTGACTTTGAGTTCTCATAAATATTTTTGGTGGATTTCTTTCTTGTCTACCTTGTTTTGTTTTGTTGTTTCTAAAAAGATAGCCTAAAGGCTAATTTTAGACCAACCCACCCATAGTACCAACTCTCTTTCAAGTCTGTGACTTCTTAATCTGCTGGAACTATGTGCAAATGAAGAGTTCACAGACCCAGAGTAAATATACAAATACACAGGTTTGTGTGTGTACTGTATGGCATATTTCTGACAAACCAATGATTTTTTGTTTCCCCTTCCCTGACTCTATTCCAGAGGGATGAATTTATCAGAAAGGTAGAATCTGGAGCAGTGAGGTACTACTATGCCTATTCCATCTCTCCCTACGGTGCCTTCAGGAAACATAGTAGAAAGTTACTAAATTATTGCTGAACCAGATAACCTCCCCTTCTACTCGAAATTCAACTAGAATAAATGTCTACCTCATCCAAGTTTATTTCTGAGCTCAGGTGTGGGGAGCAGTCTGTCTAGGCCTCTGTGTATGTTTGACAGAATCCTGCTCCTCCTCCTGCTTCCTACAAGGCGCAGCGTTCCCTCTCTTCCTTGTGGCCGCCTCCTTCCTCTCACGTGAAGCTGGGTCCAGCACTCCCCCAGAAGGAGAGGGATGAGGCACTAATTAGATTCTCCCCCTCCTCAGAGTGAGACGTGGAAACTCTGGACATTTCTGGAGGCCATGCAGAGAACTCCTAGGGAGGCAGAGCTCTAAAAATAATAATAATTAACATTTGCATCAACTTCAACCTTTACAGGGCAATCCCACAGACTATATTTCACTTAGTCAACCCTCTGATCCTGAGGTATCGCCTCCCATTGCCCGGGTAACCGAGACCAGCTATGGCTGAGTGGTTCTGCAGGCTTAATTAATCGGAAAGCTGGGGCTTTTCCCAGCGTATCCCACTTCTTAGCTGGAGGGGTGGCAGGGATGGTGAGAGTTGGCGTGGGGGGTCGCCTTCTTGCAGATACCTATCTTTGAGTAGAGAGGGAAAGTGAGGAGGAGGTGGGAGGGAGGGAGCACAAGGTCCGAGGTAAGGCATGAACTTCCTCGTTAGAATAAGGCAGTTTCTGGTGGGTTCGGCCCGTTTCTTCCTCCTCAGGGAACACTGGGAAGAAGTCGATTTGGGACCAGAGGATCAGAAGACTTGGGCAGGACCTTGAACTCTCCCCATCCTGGGGAAAGTTAAATATTCCGAGCTCCCCGGCAGTTCTCTCCTCTGCAAAAGGAAAATGATCATAGTGACACCAACCATAACAATAGTGCAACAACAGCAAGAACACGTGCTCCCATCCCTCCTCACAGGGTGAATGTGAGAGCAGGCAAGCCAAGCTCGTGGAGATGCTCTTAGGATGGAAACCATAATACCCTGGCAGGTTGTCATTGCTTTCATTCATTCCACAAATGTTTACTGAACATCCGCCGTGCTCTGGGCACTGAGGTAGGCCCTGAGGGTTCAGCAGTGACAATAACATGGCACCCATGACATGTAGTGTATTGGGGTGAGTCAGCTACTATACCCCCACTGCCCTCTGCTTTGGTCCCTTTTGGCGGTAGAGCAGTGTAGACCACCTCTTCAGGCATCAGGGTCCTTATCCATGTGACCATTGTTGTAGCAATTGAGCAACCTCAGTCATGTGAAGCATCTACAGCTGACACCACGCCTGTCACAGAAGGAATGAACGCTCCATAATCATTCCCTCCAAAAGTGCCCTTTAATGACCCACCTCTCTCTGAACAAGGAGATTAGGATTTCTGTGCCCTGAGCTTAGTCACTGGCTGAAAGACTTCTGTTCAGCCGCTTCCCCCCTTCCCCAGCCCATCAATGCAGATGAAGGCAGAGCTCTGAACTCTTACGCATTCATTCAGCCTTGGGTGGGTGTGTGTGTACGCGCGTGCGCGCTTTGTGCCTTAGCTCTCCAAATAGAACACAGTTCCTGGCAGGTAAGGACTGACTCAGCCAATCCCTTCTCTCCTGGCTCCAAATGGGACAGGCAGGCCGTCCATCTTACCAAGCCGGTGAGAAATCCCTTGCAGCTCTAGTTCTATTGATTTTCTTTCTGGCTCGTCACTGAAGTGTGAAGTGTTCTGACAGCGCGGCGAGGAAGTGTCAGGAAGTGCCTATGACATTTAAGGTGAAGACAGGATAATTTAATAATCTCAGGAACATTCACCGCATTGTTTTCTCAGACAAAACCAGTCTGGGGAAAAAAAAAGGGGCCACAAAGACTATTTTAATAACTGCCAGTATTTTCCCGGCTCCCTGCTCCCCAGGCCCCGCCCTCCTGCAGTCCCAGCCTATAACTAGGGTGCGTGCCATGTAAGCACACAGCTCTCCAGTCTGGCCAGCAACATCCTGCCCACCAGCCATGGTTCCGGCCCTGGTGGCACCCTTGTGCTAATTAGGAAAGGGGCCCTGGGGTTCTGGGCAAGCCTCGCCCATACCAGCTGAACCTCCCCCCAGCTCACAGTATCCCTCCAGGTTCCTGCCATCATGGCCGCTACTCTGAGCTGTTGAAGCTGACACCTTCAGTGCTGCTCCCTGCCCTTGATGGCTTCTGGCCATCACCGCCTGGACCACTGATGCTTCCTGCTCTCCTGGGGCCTAGCAGAGATGTTACTCAAGTGTTTTCTTTTCGGTTTTATTTTCTTTGTAATTCAGCCTCCTCTGCATGGGAGCTGGGCCACAGCACAGCCTTGGAAACAGATAACTGCTGGCCTCAGAATTGCATCTTCTCTTTGGCCTTGGCCCATTGTTCTAGAACCTGAGTGACAGACATGATTCTCTCCTTCCTTAGGACGAGCTTCCTGCCAGGAAGTTCCTGGACTCTCATGCAGATGGAGGACTCAGAGTCTCGAGGGCTTTAGTTTAGCTGCCCTCCAGGCCTGCAGGCCCACCTGTAGAGCCTCTATTGAATCCTTTCAGTGATAGCTAGGCCCTCCTGGGGCATCCATTGCTTTCATTGCTAGAAAGTTCTTTCCGTGTTCATCTGACAAATCTTTATAGAAGCTATTCCTAAGTCCCAGACCCGGCCTTCGGTTCTGGGGACAAACCAGACAGGGTCCCTGCTCATAGGGAGCTTAGGTTTAAGTTGGGGGAGGCGGGGTAGATAACGCTCTGTATACAAGTGATGAAGAGATGGCTGAAGAGAACAGCTTGACAGTGAGGAAGCTCCAAGAGGCAGAGGGTGGTGGTTCTGGGGCTTCTCTGAGGAGGTGATTTTTGGGGTGGAGACCTGGGGACCGAGGGGTCAGCCATGGTGATGGTGAGGGCAGGGGCTCTGAGGGCAGA